AACTGACCATAAATTCTCTTAAGCCTATAACCTCAAGAGGAATTTGAGATTAATCTAATTCATTAATGTTTTTCTAAACCATACAAACACAGATTATATGATGCCTGCTTTTCAAACTTGGATTGACCCTACACTGTATTGTGGAACAGAACATGAAACAGATCTGATACCAAACATAATACTGTATTTTGAGAGCAGCCTCGTACTGCTATTACTCTTACTTGCTCCCTTCTGCAAAACAATTTGAAGATAGCCTGTAATCAAAACTGATGAAACACAAAATAAAAATCACTGTCCCACTTGTTCTACTCCAGGTCGTAACCTAACAACAACAACAAAAAAATTCCTCACTCAGCAGCCTCCATAGGCTGGGGGAGGTCAAAACATAAAACTATCAGTTGCAACTGCATGAACACAGCACTGCTTCATTGTATGATATTTAAACATGTGGAAAAGGTGCAGGGCTTCAATTGTGTGTTCACAATAGCCATACTGATTTTTTTGAGTCCCTCTGCAGGCAGACCTACATTTTGTCTACTCTAATATTGTTACTTTGGGTTGTATGCATATGTCTAGTTGTATGACCATCAATTCCTGTGAAAAGGAACAACAAATGTTTCAAGCAGTCTTATCTCCTGAAATCTAGGAGCAAGGAGGCATAGTGTACAGAGGCAGAAAACTGACCACCCACAAGCATCAACAGATGTTCAGCATTTTAAAAAAGAGTATAGTTCTAGTTTTAAATACCCTGCAGCAGACACTAAAATAGGTTGTTCAGCTTTTGAACATACTGTCATCATACAATCACAGAAGGTCATAGTAGCTTTCAACCGAGGCCTTGTGCTGAAAAAATGCAAATGCAAATTACCCCAGAAATAAGCACATGCCAATGTCTTTCTTAGGCCTGAAAGTACCACAACATAGCAATTTCACAGAATGACATGCTATTATTTCTGTACTTATTTACATTTCAGATACTACACATCAGAAATTCAAACATCAGTCTCTTAGTGCTAAACAGTCTGGTTATTTATATTTTTGGGGAAAGGAAACAGAAATAGAATTGTCCATGTGAGCTTAAAGAGATGCTTTATGTATTACTGCCCCTGAACGTATTTCTGAAATATTAAATAGTTATTTTTTTGTATAGATTTTATTACTTTTTATAGAGTTAGGGATAAGGTGGGGTCGGGATTAGGGTTGGGATTTGGGTTAGGGTTGGGGTTAGTTTTTACCTTGACAACAAGCTCAGTATAGAAGTTAAACTCAACCTCAGCATAATTTCAACAAGCCAGTTAGTTAAATGCATCTCTCTGATGTGTCCCAGCTAATTGCAGTAGCTTCACTTCTGATCATTAACAATGCATGAAGGTTTTAAGAGGAACATATGAACTCCAAGACGTGTTAAAGAAGGAAATGCAAAGAAAAAAACTGAATAGGCAACTTGACATCGATAACTGGGAAAATTTTAGAATAGATCAATATGTAATCACCTTGTAAGCAATCTGTTCAAAATGTATTTATCAATATGATTAACCTTTTCTCCTTTTCTGATTGGATAACTTCTTTTATAGATTATGAGTTTGCTTTAAATATATCTATCTATCTATCTATCTATCTATCTATCTATCTATCTATCTATCTATATATTAATTTTAGCAAAGTGTTTGATCAAACTGAAAACAGCAGCATTAAATTTTAATAGAGACAAATGCATATTCTTAGGAAGCAAAATTAAAATACATGACTGCAGAATAAGAATTGGCTGACTTGATTAAAGAAATTGTAAAAAATAAATCTTGGAAAAGTTGACCACAAAGTATAAGGCAGCAGGATAATTGGCTATAAAAAAGACAAATGTAAGATGAATATAATTTTCAAATTATGGAAAGTATCTCTTATTTTATTGTGCTATGCTCAGACTCCATTGTACGTGTTGTGTGGGTTACGAGCACCACACTCAGAAATACTCAAATAATAATTTCAGAGGAGGAAAGGTCTAAAAATTAAGTTCTGAAGAGATATTGATGAAAATGAGCATGTGTCATACTGAAAAGAAGGCCTGAGATGGAGATAAGAAAGCACTAATTGAATATCTGAAAAAATGTCACACGAAAGGACAAAACATGTTGTCCATGATTCCAGAGCAAAGACATAGTATAATTAATTTCAGTTACAGGAAGGCAGTTTCCAACTGAATTGATCTTTAAAATGAAAAATAAACACACAGACACTTTTTCTAAAAGTGAGAACAGTTTGACGTATTGTTCCATATTGTTTTGTAAAGCATATATTCTTTCTCAGAATAACGAATGGGAAGCTTTGTATGTGGGAAATTCGCCTTCAAATACCATCTTGGAATTGGCATAGTGGACCCCCCTAAAAAGTTAAATCTGTTACAGTCTAATTATCTTTGCAAATATGGAATTATCAATGTTTTATATTAGCTACTAGACAGATGGGCTATGTAATAGCACGTTAATTCAGATTTGATCTTTATGATCATGTTAGCGTCTTCAGAATACCTAGATAAAAATGTTCAGCTAGCTTCAACACACTAACACTGATTCATATAATGCGCTTATGTGATATAGTAGATATATATTTAGTAGTTATTTTACAGATTAATTTTGATCTGCAAGATTAATTGAGTTGGCAAATGTTAATGAATTTTCAATGACTAATAGTTTTAAAATTAGAAGGAAGACAATTGAAATGGATAGTGTATTGCACATTCAGTTACTAAGTTTTACCAATTATATTTGATCTAAATATTCCTTTTGCATTTGAACAAATATTTTATTGCTGAATAAAAAAAATTCAAATTGATAATCCTAGCTGAAGATAATTTAAAAACTTGAATTGCATATCTCATTCATATAAATTCCCATTCTCTTATTGTTAAATGTTAATAGTTTAACTGGGTAAAATGAGTATATGTAATATTAGCTTTGATTTATATATGAATATTTTAATTTGGGGAGCTTTTTTCTTTTTTCTCTTTTCTCCTTTTTCAGATAAGTACAAATAAAGTACATTTTAAAAACTACTTGAAATTTTTTTTGCATATGGCTATCTCCCAAAAGCCTCTTTATAATGATGATGAAGCAATTATATATAACGCTTAGTTTTTATTACAGTAACCTGTTTTGCAATGTGTCAAAATCTGAACATTTTGTCTAATTACCTGTAACCTAAGATTCCTGGAAATTAATACAAAAATGTTACCATAAAATAAATTGATTATAAAACTTAGCTCAGAATTCATTATATATATATTTCTAACACTGAGTCTGTTAAAAGCATATTTATCCACCCACATGAGACATACGGAATTTTGTTAAGTACTTTTGTTAATTTTTATTGCCTGGATGTTATCTCACTCTAAGTTGAATATGTTTTCAGTTTTTAAAATGCACACAGAAGTATTATATTTAAAGATCATTTCACAGAATAACAGAAACCTGTAAAGATTAAAGAGTAAATTGGAAACAAGCTCTTCAATCTTAATCTGTTAGGAAATGTAAGGTAAAATGCATGATTTTGTTGTTGTTTATTTTGAAGTTGTAAGAACAAATAAATATGGCATTTTCTATTTCCTTTTTTTGCAACAAGACATCACTTTCATCTAATAGGAATCATTTTAAGTCATCTAACTGAAAAATCTTCAGTTCATACCCTGAAAGATATTATAGAGTATGGACATTTTGACAACACCTACTTTCAGGAATATAGACAGTAAGAGACATCCAAGCAGAAAAACATTGAAGTTTGAATATTTTTTGAGGATACAGAATATTACTGGGATAATAATTTGAAATAAAGTTTTCATTTTACCTGTTAAAAAGTGGTCTAGAAATTGAACAACAGCATAAAAAAATAAAGAGGGTATAAGGTATCTACATTTCAAACTCTCTTGAGTTTAAACCCAGCATCTTTTCCTTCTGTCTTTTCCCCAGATTACTGAAAACTCTCCTTTACATGCTATTAACTATATGGGGGGGGGGAGAGAACTGTCAAAAGGACACCAACTGTCAAAAGGACACCAAATTTTCAGGGAAAACTACAAACTGACTGCTTTGTACAAATTAGTTCATTGCCCTGGAAATGTGCTAATGTTCCTCCTGAGTAGGAGTGAGAAACTTTTCCCTCAATCAAGGAGCAGACAAACCACTTTGATACCTGTCAAAGATGTTTACATAACAAGATCTTAAAAGTGTATTTTTACCTTGAATTTACTTAATTGTTAAAATTTAACACAGAGGCAGATTTACAGTGATCTGCAGCCCTTACATCTTAACTGATTCTCAGGTATCACTCTAAAAAATATATGAACATAGGTAATTGGAACCATGTGGCTAGTGGAGAATAGAAGTTGAGGAAGCAAAAGGGCCTGATTATCTGGCTGGCCGCAGGTTGTACAGTACATCTCTACCATAAGAATATTTTAAACTTCTTATCCACAATCCATTCCACAGTCTTAAGATGAAAAACTCAAAATATGTTCTCATGTGCTTGCAGCAAAGGAACAAGTTGCACCAACAGTTATAGCATTTATATTCATGGATTTGTATTATCTTCATACTTGGCCATCTGGGTTAAGTAACATGTATCAGGACATAATCACAAAAATTTGGCGATTTATGTATTTGCATTAAACATCATGTTGTTATTTTAGCATAACTGCAATTTGCTGTGGATGTTGCTGTTCCCATATGCTGTTTTATATTTGAAGGAATGTTTCTAGACCAGTTTTCCAGCTGGATGATCAAGTCTGCATTGCAGCCCGGAATGCCTGTGTCTGTTTCATCAGATACAGCACAAAATATGTTAATTCCTGACGAGGTCAGATGGCCATGACATAGAAAGTACAATTAAAATTAAATATGGAATCAGACCATTTTTTAAAAATGTATAGTACACTAATCCCTATTAAATATGTCTGCGACTTCAGTATCAGGAAGAAAGTTCTACAATTAAATTTTAAAGAAACAACTTACCTATCCTGATAAGTAGTGATGGCAATACTAGGAAGCGTCAGTAAAGGTAATGTTGTGGGTCTAGAAATGTTATCTGGTGTTCTTGCTTTTTCACTCTGTCGTTGAGATAATGGTGGTAATAATAAATTACCAGAGCAGCATCTTCTTCCTCTCCAGAGATCTATGCCGAGGGTGTTGCTAGATGCACTATAAGACTTGCTGAGACGACATTCTAAATAATCTTTTGCATTCTAAAAGAACAAATAAAAAACTGAATTACATAAGACGCAATTTTATAAAGCTAAATATAAAAATTTAGAATTGCAGCACTAGTTAATTACAAAATTGAACACAGACAGTTCCTATAAAGTGGATTCTTAAAATAAGCATTAAATTTCACACTAAAAAGAAAAGTTACAAATGAGGAAAAATGAAATGTGCTGCAATTCAACCATCAGTCTGAATGTAAATATTAAGCACATCATTAACTTTTACACATGACTCAATAAGTTATGGTATTACTTTTATAATAAATTTTTTTCTTTCTTCACAAAAGCATTAATTTATTCCATGTCCTCCCAAAATTTCATTTCAATTTTTGCAAATCCCAACTAGGATTTGAACCCTATTCAGACACTAAATCAAAACTGAACTACTGGGATGTAAGCATTATCAGTATCTACACACAAATACAGCTCTCTTTCTATGTAATGGAAAAGAAATAGAAACTGAATATGGTTGCATTGTTTGAATAATCAGAAACACTATTTCAGCTAAATACAAGTAACGAGTCCCATTGGAGTGGAACCAATAACCTTTCAACAACAATAAGAAAGTAATGTTGACTAAAGGCTTGAAAAAAGGCAAGAAATATTTGCCCAAATTGAGCTAACAGACAACAAAAATTGGAAGCACTGAATATAGTATATGTAAAAAGATATACACTGGGCAAAAACAAAATTTTAATTTTACTTACATATAAATCAGAAAAAAAAAACTTTGGATAGGGTGCTTACTTAAGTGAAGTTGTTGACATTGCGTACAGATATTGTTAAAAGCCAAAGTCTTTGTTACTGGTCATTAAGAAAAAAATGTTGGAAATAAAAATGCCAAGATCTTATGGGATAACCATATTTCAAACACATACTGTACCTGCTTCTTCTTTAAAACAATATTGTAGAGCTAGAAAATATACCACAAAGTTACCTAAAATTATCAAGGATAGAACAATACCCCTAACAGAATATGTTAGTGTTTGAGCTTTTTAAAAAACATGTGTTAGAGCACTGTGATCAACATCAGACATATATTTGATCATTATCACTTATATTTGGAGACTATCCTACGGTAGATGACATAATAGGATATAATGTTTTATTTTTTATATAAATGTTTATTAAGAGTTTTACAAAGAACATAAAAACTAACACAAACTTATAAAAAGAAAAAAGACAAAAAAGAAAGAAAAAAGACAAAAATGCAGAAAGAACAAAAATAAAATGAAGGGGGTTCCTATGTCCTTTGCAGCAAAAATACATACAGTTACAAAATTATCTCTTATTTTATTATAAAAGAAAGCTAATTCCTTTCTATTATCCAGTATTTATCTTATCATCAAACCCACAAATTATAAGTGCATTTTTCCCATTTTATACAAACAGTCTATAAGGGGTTTCCAGTCAGCCATAAATATAGATATTGTTTTCTCTCTAAGCAAAAAAGTTATTTAAGCCATCTCTGAAAGTTTTATCATCTTCAACCATCATTTTATAATAATTTGTTTTTTTCACAAAGTATTAATTTATTCAATAAATTTATATTTGGACAATGTTCTACAACAGAAGACGTTACGTACAAGTTAAAAGCCATCAATATAATCAGCATTAAAGCCTTAATAAGTATCTAACAACAATACAAGATTAGTTATATTTTATCTGAAACAGACAGAGGGACAGACATACGTATGTATGTATATACTTACACCTTCTGTAGGGACAGTCATTACACTCCTACTTTTCTTCATGTTGGTGATGGAAAATCACTTCAATTATAAGCACCCTTTTCAGAAACTGTGCTTCTACCTAACCAATAAACCTGGTCAAAAAAGGAAGGAGAAAACCATATTTCAGTATTTGTCTTCAAATTTAAGAATGGAAACAAGGGTCTGGTTTGCACATTGCCAAGAATGGTAGAAATGTTTGACAAATTATTCATGAACATGATATTTTCCCTACCAGGTAAGAACAAGTAGTCCTCGACATACGACCATATGAGCCCAAAGTTTCTGTGGTTAAGTGAGATGTTTGTTGAGTTGTGCCCCAGTTTACAACCTTTCTTGCCTCAGTTGTTAACTGCAGCTGTTCCATGCCAATCCAGCCATCCCGAGTCAGCAGAGCGGGGCCAGCTGCACGTACCCAGCCATGCCTACCCAGCCACACCCACCTGGCCATACTGAGTCAGCCACATTGAGTGAGCTGTGTGAAGCCAGCCACGTTCAGCTGGCCATCCAGTCACGCCTACCCAGCCTCACCCACCTGGCCCTTTGAGGGCAACCATAATGCTGATGCGGCCCTCAATGAAATTGAGTTTGACACCCCTGATGTATATGATATTTAACCAGATTCACTTAATCAAGATGGAACCCACTCGCTATCTAAAAGTAATTACATAAAATTCTGTACCATGTCATCCTAAAATAAGCCCGTTATCATGTCAGAATCTTAGTTTTATGATTATATAATTATGTAAATTATTATGTAAATTACTACATGTAAATAATTATGTAAATTATTATATTTCTTTTTCTTTAAAATCATTGTGGTTGCAAAAAGGCTGCATTGAGATATTCCCTACAATGATTTTATAGTGGTTAAAAGGATTGCATAAACTAAGATATCATGCTTTATGCATTCTAGTATAAAAGTTCTGATCTTTTATAGAAGGTATAATTATATTGTCACCAGTTTTAATTTCCTTCAGCTATGCAACTTCTCTTTGCATAGTTTAAACTCGTGCAGAGTTAAACTGAAAAGAAAAATAATTCTTCCACTCCATTGGTGAGAATTAAACTGTGTGCATATTATTCAATACTAAAATGATAAAAAGTATGCTTTTCCAAATCAAAATGTTTAAATATTATGCTATAGATTATTAGACTGTCTAAAATATTCTTGTTTCAGAAGTTAAAATAGATAACCATGAAGTTATGCCTGGAACCTTACCAAATTCTCTATTCTGAATATATATATATAAATCTCTTAATTAAAAAGATAGTGAGCTTACAGCAAAACAATGTGCAAGCTCCTAGTACAGTGGTTCTCAACCTTTTTAATGCCACGACCCCCAACCGGTTGTAAGTCGAGGACTACTCAACTGGTGCAGCACCGTTTGCAGAATGGGACTTTTGGCGGGCTCAGCAGGGCAGAGACAGCCTGGACAATTCCTATTGGCTTTTGAAAGCCAATAGCATTAGACTCTATTCAATAGAGTCTATTCTATTGGCTTTCAAAAGCAAATAGAATAAAAGGGAGTAGCACAGCTAAGGAAAAGGGGGAAAAAATGGCGGACTGCGTTGTTTGGCGACCCCCATGAAATGGTCGTTCGACCCCAAATGGGGTCCCAACCCACAGGTTGAGAACCACTGTCCTAGTACCATTTCACTTTTCACAAAACCTATAGATCTCAAAGGGATCACATATATTTTCTTACAAAATAATGATAATTGGCCAATGATGCTTGGTGCTTTGCTTAGAAACGTACTTTAGCATACAAAAAGGAAAGTGCTAAGCAGAAGATCGTGCTTATTACAAATAACTCATTTTTAAATAATAGCTAAACTTTGACCACATAGTATATGATGATAAAGTTCAATTTTGTCAACTTAGATCCAGGTTAAACATAGTGCATGAACCAACTGGAAAATAGGAATTGTAAATTCTTTTCATTCAGCTGCATCTCATACATATACCTTCCACATTTTTATATAAAGCTCAAAATGACATACTCTTCTTTAAATCTTATTGCTTTTGCCCCAAAACATATTAAAACCATATGAAGATTAAACAAAAATGGAACAAATAAAACAAATCATATTGTATGTATAAGTGTCACCACCACTGTTCTACATTTCCAACATAATAAAATTGACAACCAATCTTTTTAATAGTCTCTGAGAAGTCCAGTAAAAATGGAAAAAAAAATTGTTGAATTACATTAAGACCATAAGAAATATGCCTAATATTATTTTCTTACACAGTAGTTTTTCAATATAGTGTATTCCAACTCTTTATTTCAAAATTCTTGCAAATGACCAAGATCCACCTTAAAACATTTTTATTTGAGGGATCCTTGGTGCTCTGAGCTTGCTTCTTTCAGACATTACCCAAACTAGGTAACATCATCAATGCCAGCACATCTACAAGAAAACAAGCAAGCTTAGAGAACACCAAGGACCGTCCATATCAACCCCGAGCTGCAAATATTCTCCTTTATTAGTAACATTTTTATCTGCCCTTAAAAAAACTGTTTAAATTAAGAAAAGCATAGTTTATAATTGATAATATTTTGGGCGTACTAGCTACTGCTAATGCATTTAGATCAAATTGGGAAACCAAAATTACTATAAAGACATTCTGCGTGCTTAAATAATCCAAATCCTTCTGCATAAACTTTATAAAATTTGAACAGCAACTTTCTGATCTAAAGTTAACTAATGGGCTAGCACTAGAAGTAATCCAAATGAGAACAAGTTGAGTGCTCTTACATCATTGACATAGAAGAACAATCAATGTTATATTTGAGTACACCAGTGGGCAGAGCAGTTCTCCAGGGTTCCTCCCCTTCCAGGAGTAGTAATGATTTAACAGTCAGAAAGTCTGCATAATTAATAGATCTTCTTTAATAGGTAATGGCAGGTTACTTCTTCCAGAGTGTGAAATCATGGTATGGTTATGAATAATACACAGTGTGAACTTGGATTAACAGCTAACTTAAATTGAAAAGGGTACCCACAGTTTGTTAAAGGTTTATTTCAGGCATGGCCCCCTGAGTCATGCAAATCTGGTTGAGATTTTCATCTATGGTTAACTCCCCATGTGCCCACCAAATTACAAAGGCAGTAGAATGGATATATAAAGAAAGTAGAAAAACCTCAGCTTCCTGCACATCTTATGTTGTGGCTCTGATTGCTAATAATCCTCTGTAGAACTATTACAGCTCATCCTGTCACAGGGCACCTGGGTCTTGAACTTGGGCTGTTGACTTTGCAGCCAACATGCCCAGCATCTTACCCTAAGTCATCGTGCCACCCAATGTACAGCACAATGTATAGCAACTATTTTATTCACAAGTAATAATTATAGTTATTCTATATGGCAGTGGTACAGAGCTTTGTGATTGCTAAGTTACTGTACTGAAATTATTCATGGAAAATTATTACTGTATAAGATAGAGTTGGGTATAGTTTGAAAATAATTAGGAAGAACTGCTTCAGCCCTCACAGAAGCACAGCACAGATCTGCTAGCCTGGTTTTTTCGTGCTTTTATGGGAGCCTGTAAAAGGCTGTTGCTGCTTTAAGAATTGCATTAATAAGTGGATTTCTTAAAGCAGCTACATTTTTTGTTAGTTGGTTTGATTGATTGTTTTAAGGCTCATATGAAAGTCTGAAAAAAACCCAGACTACTTTAATGAAAGGCCTTATGCTTGCGGGAGATTCAAATCACTTTCTGAGGCATGTACAGCTCTGTTAAAAAATTACATCTGGAAAAGGATACTAATATACAGCTTATTATCTGCAAAAATACAAAAACTACAAGTGTGAGGGGGGAGAGAGATTATGCACCTTAGATCTCTAAGCACAATTGCATTGTGCTGACTTCCTTGGAAGATTGTGGAGCATAATTTTTGCAAGTTTTCATCATCAATTATTCAAAAGAAACTTTTTTCCCATTGGTGACATTACATATTGGAAGTATACTACTTACATTCCTGAAAACATAGCACCAGGTGCAGAACTATTTAACTCGTTTTTCACATCTGTCTTTACACAAAGGGAAAAAACAGACCAACCTATCAAAAATAGTGCCATAAAAAACAAAATAGAAATACAAGTTAAGATAGGCAAGAAAATGGTAAGTGAGCACCTGTCCAGCCTAGACGAGTTCAAATCAGCAGGACCAGATGGATTACACCCCAAGGTTCTTAAGGAACTGGCAGATGTGATCTCAGAACCACTGAACTATATTTTTCAAAGATCCTGGAGCACTGGGGAACTACCAGAGGACTAGAAAAGAGCTGATGTAGCTCCCATCTTCAAAAAAGGAAAAAAAAGGACCCAGGAAATTACAGATCTATCAGCCTGAACTCAGTACCTGGGAAGATTCTGGAAAAGATAATCAAACAACGAATCAGCGAACACCTACAGGTAAACAAAGTCATTACCAAAAGCCACCATGGGTTTGTCAAAAACAGATCATGCCAGACAAATCTTATTGCATTCTTTGACCAAGTGACAAAATTAGTGGACCAGAGGAATGCTGGGGATATAATTTACTTGGACTTCAGTAAGGCATTTGACAAAGTAGACCACAACCTACTACTTGAGAAGATAGAAAAATGCGGGTTAGACAGCATCACCACCAGATGGATCCGTAGCTGGCTGACCGGCAGTACTCAGCGTGTGGTCCTCAATGGAACCGCATCTACATGAAGGGAAGTGTGTAGTGGGGTGCCCCAGGGCTCTGTTCTGGGCCCAGTGCTTTCAACATCTTCATCAACGATCTGGGCGAGGGGATAGATGGGGAACTCACCAAATTTTCAGACAACACCAAGCTGGCAGGAATAGCCAACACTCCAGAAGACAGGCTTAGGATACAGGAGGATCTGGACAGACTTGAACACAGGGCAATATCTAACAAAATGAAATTCAATGGTGAAAAAAGCAAGAAAAACCAAATGTACAGGTATAGTATAGGGGGTACCTTGCTCAATAGTAGTAACTGTAGAGGGATCTCAGAGTCCTAGTGGACAATCATTTAAATATGAGCCAGCAGTGTGCTGCAGCTGCCAAAAAGCCAACACAGTCCTAGGCTGCATT